ATCGTAGCTGACCAAATGTTAACAGATTTTTTCTGAAGATATTTGAAGCAATTTTTGAAAAAGCCTATAGGAAAGGGTTGATTCCCCTATTTCTTGCTAAATGAACGCCAGTTGATACATCAGCAGTAAAATTGTATTTATTTCAATATTATTTACACCTATTGTAACATCACGTTAAACTTTGTCAGATTCGGGAAGCTTATTATTTCGTGATCGTAAAACCAGTCAGTTTAAGATAATACCGGATCTTCAAAATTCTTCAATGAATTCTTTTTTTAATTCTGTCATTTAAAGTTCATTGTTAGGGTTTTCAAATAATGAAAAAAGAGAAGGGGGTCGAAGTATTGGTTATCGAAATATAAGGCTTCAAAAAGGAGGGATTTTTCAGTTTTCCGCGCGTTTTTCCCGAAAATCTGCCGCCTCTAATAAATTCGAATTACTCGAATCGATTTAAGAAAGAAAAATAGAAAACTGTTTTAAACTATAGGTGTTGAGTCTAGAAAGCATATCTAGATTAAAAAATCCATCCAATCTTTTGCAAGTACTTAGTAGTGTGAAAAGTTAGTTCTAGAAGCGAAATTGCTTGTAATTGTAAAAATGTTGAAAATTCATGACAATTTTAACTATGAATTTTTTTTTTCCCGCACTAAATCCAAAGAATATGATATCTAGCTCCGAATGAAAAGAAAACAAATGGGGGTCACCGTACGAATAGACGAGCTATGAGCGACTAAATCTAAGTTTTTGGTCAAAAACACAAATCCTGTCCGCGCGAGACTGGGTTCTAGTACATTAACCTCCGTCTGAAACATGTCGAATCGTTGTTGTAATCTCCAGAGAATCTAAGACGTATTTCGAATTGATTTTGAGAATAACATGTCAAATTCATTTTTTGTTACTTCATTTTTATAAAGTTATGAATTTGTTGTTTTGAATCAAAAGAGTGATCAAGTCAGGCAATGAAAATCTAAGCATGTTTTGAAAACATAAGCATGTTTTGAAAACATTTCATCTTTGCCTCAAAAGTTCCATGAATTAGCGAAATACTTTGTTAAGTTATAGAAAAGGATTCGACTTCTGACTTTATTTAAATCAATTTTCAAAACAGCGCAAATAAAGAGTAAAGATCGAGATGCGTGAAATGGATGCGCAGTAGCAAGGGTCCAGAACTACCTTAATTTGTATTTTATACGATGTGTATACATTGTTCTGTTAATCATAAGAAGTCTGAGGCAATAGTCATTGAATCTAGACCATTCATTAAATAGCTATCTGTGACTGATATATATCCTAAGTTAAATTTTCCTTTTTTTCTAAGTTCAAATGTGCTGTTAGAAGTAAATTTATAAGTAAACTGTACTGCCTATTCAATCGAGTACGGATATATTGCATTCATGGGGTGATTGCATGCAGAAAAGGAAGTCAAATTCATTGTGTTACTGTGGAAACAAGTCAAGTGTTCTAAAACACAGGAAGGTAACACTTGCAAAGACCTTTTCACTTACAGATTCGTAGCTAAAAAGATACTCAACTGATAAGGAGCATTGATTGACTGAGGTCCTTTTGTGTAAAAGAGCACAGTTGATGTGCTATGCTAATGCGCCTTTTATCGCCCATGATTTGGCGCAGTTGATAGTGTTGGGATGTCCCTAATTTACTCCAGCTGCTTCATCATCCGGAAGACCAAATCAGTTCTAACCTTTAAATATTGAAGGTAGTGAGTGTACTGCATGGTTGCAACTGCAAGAAACTAAGAACTTTAAGAACGATGACAAGAATATACTTATCTGATGTACTGCATAATTGTACTTTATTTTTGTCAGTTTTAGGAATCATTGCGAATATCTTCGTTTGCTTACTAGTGATGAACTCAAGACAGCTTCGTACTTACGTCAACGGCTTTTTAATCTCTCTCGCAGTATCTGACATCCTAACGTTTACAACATTTTTTGTGTATATGGACTTTTTTATAGGAATGCAACACAAAAAGGAACAACTCGAGAAATTATCTTTCAAATGTTTAATGAGTTTGACAACACTTTCGGTGGTTGGGAACTTGTGTGCCGTGTCGTTTGAGCGCTACCTCGCTGTTGTAAAGCCTCTTCACTACAAAACACGAGTTAAGAAGTATTTTGTGTGGATT